GAGACGTAAATTTTCTGATTGTTCCAGATTGGGAGTGTTTGGGACCACTCCCTTTGCTATTTTTACTCTTCATCTTTTCTATATATGTCCAAACCCTTTTCTTTAAGGCTTTAGGGTATATGCTATAATGGGTCTTTTTTAGAGAGGTTCTAATTTCTTCGATTTCCTTGATATTTCCCCCTCTCTTTTTTTTTTTTTTTTTCTTTTTTCCCCCAGTCTATAATTACTTCTGCTGCTTTAATAAGCTGTCCATAACACGGATTTAATATACAGTCCATCCACTCTCACTCACCCACATTCCAGCTGCCTTTCCAGGAAGTTGTCCTTTAGGTTCTCTGTCCTCTACTCTGGCTCTACTCCTCTTCCCCTCGATTGAAGGGGGGGGGGGGGGGGGGGTCTCTCCGGGTCTCCTTTTTCCTCCTTCTACCTCTCTCACAGGTATCCGGAAGACAGGGTCTCCTTTCTCCCACGCTGATGTCTCTCTGACTCCACCGGAGAGCAGCCAAATCTCTCCTCTTCTCCTTTCACCGGGACGCTGAGCCGGTACCCCCGGTACCACGTGTCCTGTCAGTGAGGAAGCCGGCTTCTCCCCCTGTGTCGGAGAACCGGCCGGCTTCTCTGTCTCCCAGAGCTCCCTTTCGGGAGATCACGTGAGTGTCTCGCGTCACCTGGATTCCCAGCAGTCTCGGGCGGGAGGTATCATCCGTTCCTCAGTCGTGGACTCCTGCAGCTCTGTCCTCGAAGTTCTCTTCGGGGGCCCCCTCTCGCCCGTGAGTTTTTTGCCCGGGGACCTTCGCAGCTTTACTCGGGGAACATTTGGGAGGGAGAGTGGCTATCCTGTGGAGAGCGTTCACATCACGCTCTCACCTGCCGCCATAGTTAGGCTCCTCCCTCCTGTCCTGCACTCCTGCCGGCCCCGGTTTGGAGTTGATTTACCAATGGCAAAAAGGCTTTGCACTTTACAAGTGCAGTTGCACTAATTTTCCCCAGAGCTTAGTGTGATGATTTCCATTATCCAATCATGAGCAAGCAAAAGTGTTGTTTTTTTTTTTCAACACAGATAGCTGCACACATGGACCGAAAGTCATCCAGTTCCTGCTGGACTGGCTGATTATCGACCCACATGTACCGGGTTTTACTGGCTTGATTCCCGGGTGATAAACAGTGTTGCAGGGGGACTCAGAAAAACAAAGATTGCTGTGTTGATGCTAGTGACAGGCTGTATCATATATCATCATTTTTGATTTTGGCAATAGTGTTCTATAAAATGTTCTATCATTTATATCAATTACACCATATATGCACACAAACCCTAATATGTTGTTTTTCTCCTATTTCTCCTAGAAACATTTTTATGCATATACATTTTTAATTAGAATGTTTTGAAAACATAATTGTATTATGCTATGTTATTTTAGTTACATAGTATGGCTGAAAAAAACTAAAGTCCATCCAGTTCAAAGTTTTTGAAGAAGATAAAGGAGTAATCATTGTCTGAATTAACAACTATATCATATACTTCTACTTGCATGGACTTGTGTGTTATTTCCTTATGAAAATGTAAATTTTCATAATGTTATTAACTCACACCTATTGTTCTCAGGGTAGGTTTGGCTCTAAAAATGTGTAAAAACCAACAAGGAACACAAAGCCATGGGATGGCAAACAGAAGATTTAGCCAAGACTCTTTTGTTTTCTAAAATAATTAATATACTAGTTTGGCTGAGTGTGCATTTTTATGCTTTGACAGACATCCCTGCTGCTGATACTGTTTCTGGTAACTATGTAAGTCCATGAAAATACATTTCAGATGATCAGTTCTCCCCCATGATCAAATGGCCTGGGGGTGTTGAGGTTTTAGAGTGCTCTAAAATCCTTAGATTATTTATTGAATGTAAACAGCCAGAACAAGTGAAAGTCATCTTATGTTTAAGGCAAGCATGAGAGTATTTGTGTCCGGTGCTCTACACTTTGTGTTAAACTAAACTCTTAAAGCTGAACTCAGGACAGATTCTCTAGCCATCTGCTCCTAGGTATTCTGTAATTTCATTTCAAAGAAAAAATAATGTTTCTTAAACGTAAATTGTGACTTATTTCATCTGTCTGGATCACCCCACAGCCTTGGCTTGTGGATTTTCTTTGTGTCATAACTCCAGCACTATTTTCAGTTCAGGCAGTAAGAATCTTCAGAAGCTTGCAGGTGTTTTATGGAAACCTGAACTTGTTTTTAAAGCATTCTCACACAAGATTTGCATTGAGGATGTCTCTTCTATCTTTATCCAAAGTGTACGAATGGAGAGAAAATCACAGTGAAAGAGTGCAAATTGTTCACGAAACCTTCAAAACCACTATAAAAACAGCCAACATGTTTCAGGAACAACAGAACTCCTTTCTCAAGGCCTAGAAGAATGGAATAAGGACTTGAATGGACTCAAAAGAAACCAAATGGATTTATACTTGATTTAGTACAAATTCCCATTTCATTTGGAATTAAAACAAATTAATCAACAGTATAATGAACTGCTGCTGGTTACATTGTTATATTTTGGTTATAGTGTCCATCGAGTGCATTCAAGTGCTTATTTCATTCTTGTAAGCCCTGCACCTTTTCTTCCACACCCTGGTGATGGTGAGTCTCAAATGCCTTTTTCATTGGATTCAGATGTTTGAGAATGATATTCTTTAATAAGGGTGACTTACCTACTGCTAAAGACTGCAGGTTATTCACTGCCTGGAGGCAGAAGGACAGAATATTTTCTATACTCTACCAGCAGCAAATAACACTTATGATACAGCTCTCACTATAGTATAGGATGTATTTGTTCCTAAGGTAAATTTGTTTGCAGAACAATTTAAATACTGGCACCATGGACAACATTGTCATAAACCCACAGTACACTTTACTGTATCGCAGCTTTAGGAGAGCTGGTTGAGCAGCTAATAGAAAAAAACAAACTCATCCTGCATTAGAGAAAGATTGGGAAAAATGCTCAGCCAGGGGACCACTGGCACCATACAGGCTGTGAACTCAGAATCTGCTTCTTACAAGGCACATGGTCAGGCCTAGTACAAAAGTATAATGAAAAATGTATCTAAACTGCACATACACAGAGCAAGCACTGCATAATGTATACTTCAACACAGCACATTGCAAACTATGCTGCACATTGCAAAAGATGCATGATGCCATAAATGATACTGAATAAAAAACAGCCCCACGTGCTCCTGTCAGATATATTGTTCAGTTCAAACACTGTTAGTGAGTATTAGGTCACTGATAAGAACATGTCAAGCTCTACCACATAGCCACAAATGTTTTCCAGGACTGCACACCAATATAGTAAATCACAAAACAAATGATCGCAAAATGGCTTTAGCTTGCTATCCATCCACCAGGAAAGCCCCTCTAACATGGTTTTTCACCAGTGTAGAGCATAGAGGCAGATGTCACCCACCTTATGCTATATTAATACATTTTATTTTTTTTTATTAGAGAATTGTATATAATCATATGAGTTAATATATTTTACAAGGCTGAGATATATTGATTTTTAATTACATAAGAATTATATTTCTTGGAGCAAAATTCATATTTTATAGATATGCTAGCATATTTTAATTTAAACGATGTGAGTTTTTTTTTTTTTTTTTTGTAATACCTGTTTTATTATTTTATGTGGCTGAAATTGCTCAGAGAGTCATAATCGCCTGCACCTAGGAAGCTGCATGTGTTTCATACAGCCTGGCATACAGGTGAATGACCTTACATGGCTATTCTCTTGTAAACACTGATGTTTCTGTGCATTGGTATTTATCCGCACATACATACAGTGGCGTCACTAGGGTTGGTGTCACCTGGGGCAGTAAAACATGATATCACACCGCCCCCACGTACATGATTACATGATACAAGAGATAGTGGACATGATGCAAGACATGGTTAGAGACTGTGGACATGATACAGGAGATGGACAGAGACTGTGGACATAATACAAGAGATAGTTGGAGACTGTGGGCATGATACAGAAGAAGGTCAGAGATTGTGGACATGATATAGGAGATGGTCAGAGACTGCAGACATGGTACAGGAGATGGCCAGAGACTGTGGACATGATGCAAGAGATGGTCAGAGACTGCAGGCATTCTACAGGAGATGGTCAGAGACTGTGGACATGATACAAGAGATGGTTAGAGAGTGCACACATGACACAGGAGATGGTCAGAGACTGCAGACATGTTACAAGAGATAGTCAGAGAATGCAGAAAAACCACAAACTGTCATGGAGTGCCTATAAGTCGATCAAATTAACAATGTATGATAGTCCAAAGGATCAGTAAGAAAAAAGTAATAAAAAGGTAATTCCCAGGTATATTAAAATAAAAGACACATTTATTGTCAATCCATTAAAATCATGAATGTAAAATTCTTGTGCAAAGGACATACCTTACATTATTATTATTATTATTATTATAACTAGAGATGAGCGAATTATTCAAAAATTCGATTCGACTGATTCGGCGAATTCGTGAAAAAATTTCGATTCGAGTCGAATATATTCGCTGCGAATTTAACTTATAAAAGGGTGTTTCTAGGCTTCAGAGAGCCTTTATATTAGTGCAGAACACTGTACCTTTAATTTAAATGCCCTTGGAGTCTGCTGGGGAAGAGAAATAATACTGACAGTCAGTATGACATGCAGATGAGTGCCGTCGATCTTAGAATCATCACCGCACACTTCACTCATTTGGGCAGTCACGGGGCCAAAACCAGAGTGTGGAGCCACAGTGTGGCGGTGGAGGCAGCAGCAATGGGAGGCCATACAGCACCCTATGACAAAAATGGAAACCACCAGCAGTGTGAGGAGACCTGAAAGTGGCACATGGCAGAGTGTGGCGATGGAGACAGCAGCAATGGGAGGCCGTACAGGGACCCATGACACACTCTGGACCTGGCAGCAGCATGAGGAGGCGGTACAGGGGCCCATGACAGATTACGGGCTTGGCAGCAGCATGAGGAGTTGGTACGGGGCCCATGGCAGATTACGGGCCTGGCAGCAGCAATGGGAGGCCGTACAGGGACCCATGACACACTCTGGACCTGGCAGCAGCATGAGGATAGGGGTACAGGGGCCCATGACAGATTACGGGCCTGGCAGCAGCATGAGGAGTCGGTACGGGGGCCCATGACACACTCTGGACCTGGCAGCAGCATGAGGGAGGCGGTACAGGGGCTCATGACAGATTACGAGCCTGGCAGCAGCAACTTGGACAGGAGGACGTTCAGCTTCTGCACCGTCGGGTGCGTGCTCGCAAACTGTTGTCTCTTGGAAACGGATTCCAAGAAAGACTGCTGACGGAATCCGTGAAGAGGAGTAGCAGGAGAAGGAGCATCTGAACGAGCGGAATATGCCAAAAAGCGACAACAGGGGCCCATGACAGATTACGGGCCTGGCAGCAGCATGAGGAGTCGGTACGGGGGCCCATGGCAGATTACGGGCCTGGCAGCAGCAATGGGAGGCCCGTAATCTGCCAGCACCCTATGACAAAAAATGGAACACACCAGCAGTGTGTGTGAGGAGACCTGAAAGTGGCACATGGCAGAGTGTGGCGATGGAGACAGCAGCAATGGGAGGCCGTACAGGGACCCATGAGAGACTCTGGACCTGGCAGCAGCATGAGGAGGCGGTACAGGGGCCCATGGCAGATTAGGGCCTGGCAGCAGCTATGGGAGGCCCGTAATCTGCCAGCACCCTATGACAAAAAATGGAACCCACCAGCAGTGTGAGGAGACCTGAAAGTGGCACATGGCAGAGTGTGGCGATGGAGACAGCAGCAATGGGAGGCCGTACAGGGACCCATGAGAGACTGTGGACCTGGCAGCAGCATGAGGAGGCGGTACTGGGGCCCATGGCAGATTACGGGCCTGGCAGCAGCAATGGGAGGCCCGTAATCTGCCAGCACCCTATGACAAAAAATGTAACACACCAGCAGTGTGAGGAGACCTGAAAGTGGCACATGGCAGAGTGTGGCGATGGAGACAGCAGCAATGGGAGGCGGTTCAGGGACCCATGAGACACTGTGGACCTGGCAGCAGCATGAGGAGGCGGTACAGGGGCCCATGGCAGATTAAGGCCTGGCAGCAGCAATGGGAGGCCCGTAATCTGCCAGCACCCTATGACAAAATGGAACCCTGGGCTGGGGCAGGCAGAACCGCCGTAACTTTATCACGGTTTTCCCAGGCCACCAAATGGCACGCTGCATTAGTGACGCAACGCTGTAGTCCCAACATGGGCCCCTTGGCCACGCTTGACTTTCTGGCCACATAGTCGACATACGGCTACGTTTACTTCCTCGGACGGCTTGACGAAAAATTGCCCACACCGCCGAGTAGGAAAGTTTGCCCCCGCTATTCCTCAATGGCTGACTGCTACTTCCTCCGTGCACACTATGCACCAACTACTGGCCGTGGTGGTAGGCTGCAGTGGAGCTGGTGCTCTACTCCGTGGCCGTTTGCCTCCACTGACACTGCTGCGACCCTGCTGCCTCCTGGCAGCAGCAATGGGAGGCCGTACAGGGACCCATGACACACTCTGGACCTGGCAGCAGCATGAAGAGGCGGTACAGAGGCCCATGGCAGATTAGGGGCCTGGCAGCAGCAATGGGAGGCCCGTAATCTGCCAGCACCCTATGACAAAAAATGGAACACACCAGCAGTGTGAGGAGACCTGAAAGTGGCACATGGCATGAGACACTGTGGACCTGGCAGCAGCATGAGGAGGCGGTACAGGGGCCCATGGCAGATTAGGGGCCTGGCAGCAGCTATGGGAGGCCCGTAATCTGCCAGTACCCTATGACAAAAAATGGAACACACCAGCAGTGTGTGAGGAGACTGAAAGTGCACAAAGTGGCACATGGCATGAGACACTGTGGACCTGGCAGCAGCATGAGGAGGCGGTACAGGGGCCCATGGCAGATTACGGGCCTGGCAGCAGCAATGGGAGGCCCGTAATCTGCCAGCACCCTATGACAAAATGGAACACACCAGCAGTGTGAGGAGACCTGAAAGTGGCACATGGCATGAGACACTGTGGACGATGGAGCAGCAGCATGAGGAGGCGGTACAGGGGCCCATGGCAGATTAGGGACCTGGCAGCAGCTATGGGAGGCCCGTAATCTGCCAGCACCCTATGACAAAAAAATGGGCACTGGCAGCAGTGTGTGAGAGAGACCTGAAAGTGCCAGCACCCATGGCAGAGTGTGGCGATGGAGACAGCAGCAATGTGAGGCCGTACAGGGACCCATGACAGAGACTCTGGACCTGGCAGCAGCATGAGGAGGCGGTACAGGGGCCCATGGCAGATTAGGGGCCTGGCAGCAGCAATGGGAGGCCCGTAATCTGCCAGCACCCTATGACAAAAAATGGAACACACCAGCAGTGTGAGGAGACCTGAAAGTGGCACATGGCAGAGTGTGGCGATGATTCATAGGCGGAATAGTCAGTTGTGTCAGGAACTGGAGAGACTCTGGACCTGGAAATCCAGACTAATCCAGGCCTGATTCATGGCACAAATTAGGGGCCTGGCAGCAGCAATGGGAGGCCCGTCGTCGTGCCAGCACCCTATTACAAACCTCCTGCCGCACTAACACCACAGTCCGATGTGCTAGGAGGCCTGCATGAGTGGCACATCAAGGGCAAATTCGCTAGTTGGGCCAAAGTCAAGTTTCGTACAGGGACCCATGAAGGGGATTGTGGACCCAGCAGTTGGAGGGGTACAGGGGCCCAAGCAGGCCTAGGGGCCTGGTTGTTGGGAGGTCCTGCTCCAGGTCCACCTATGCTGCTGCTGCAGCTGTGTTAGTAGTTTCCTCACTGCGCTGGTGAAGAAAGCTACTCATCATCGACTGCAGATGAGATCAGCCGCTGCTGGTGGAGCTGCCACTGCTCCTACCACCCACCCCACCCCTCCCCTGCAGCCATGGCAGCGGAACGGAGCGCACAGGGCCCACAGTGTCTGAGTGGGGGGCCTGGCAGCAGCAGCAAATGGGAGGCCCGTACAGGGGCCGCAGAACCTGGCAGATGAGGACCAGCTGACTACATAGTGGTTTTTATAGTAGGTGTAATCTGGCCTCCCTCTCAGCAGGTGTGAAAAAGGCCACCATTTTTGAACGGTAGCGAGGGTCCAACAAGGTGGACAGCCAAAAGTCATCCAGCTGCATCTGAGGGTTATATAGGGGCCCATGGCAGATTAGGGGCCTGGCTAGCAGCAAGGAGGCCCGTAATCATGCTATGGGCCATTTGTGCCAAAAAAAATGCGAACACACAGCCTGTGTCCATCTCCACCTGAAATACTGCAGACGGTGCGTCTGGGTCCTCAGCTCCTCCTCCTCCTCCTCTACCAGATGCTCCTGCTCCCAGCACATCCTGTCCGCTGAGTGGAAAAACCACCCATGGCACTCAATAATTCCTGAGCACCAATGTCCTCCTCTACCTCCTCCTCTTCTTCCTGAGCCCCCACAGGGTCATGTGGCGTTGAGATCTGTGCGCCACGTCTACCGCACCCCTGACCAGCCATTGTTAACAGCATTTGTTCCAGGACGTGCAACAGATGAATGACGTCGTTCATCCCATAGTCCCTGCCGACTGGACACGCAATAGCGTGGCCTCCTCAAAGGGCCTGAGCAAGCGCAGGTGTCACGCATGAGCTGCCAATGGCAGCTGACATCTAAGTTACACAGGGAGTACCTTTATCTCCGCACCCTAACAAAAAAGAAACATCTGTGATGGACCTGCTGTTCGCAAAGGCGGTCTAACATATGTAGGGTTGAATTCCACCTTGTTGCAACGTCACAGCATGAGGAGAGGCGGTATATGGGGGCCCATGGCAGATTACGGGCCTGGCAGCAGCAATGGGAGGCCCGTAATCTGCCAGCACCCTATGACAAAAAATGAAACACACCAGCAGTGTGAGGAGACCTGAAAGTGGCACATGGCAGAGTGTGGCGATGGAGACAGCAGCAAAGGAGGCCGTACAGGGACCCATGAGACACTCTGGACCTGGCAGCAGCATGAGGAGGCGGTACAGGGGCCCATGGCAGATTAGGGGCCTGGCAGCAGCTATGGGAGGCCCGTAATCTGCCAGCACCCTATGACAAAAAATGGAACACACACCAGCAGTGTGAGGAGACCTGAAAGTGGCACATGGCAGAGTGTGGCGATGGAGACAGCAGCAATGGGAGGCCGTACAGGGACCCATGAGAGACTCTGGACCTGGCAGCAGCATGAGGAGGCGGTATAGGGGCCCATGGCAGATTAGGGGCCTGGCAGCAGCTATGGGAGGCCCGTAATCTGCCAGCACCCTATGACAAAAAATGGAACACACCAGCAGTGTGAGGAGACCTGAAAGTGGCACATGGCAGAGTGTGGCGATGGAGACAGCAGCAATGGGAGGCCGTACAGGGACCCATGAGAGACTCTGGACCTGGCAGCAGCATGAGGAGGGTATAGGGGCCCATGGCAGATTAGGGGCCTGGCAGCAGCTATGGGAGGCCCGTAATCTGCCAGCACCCTATGACAAAAAATGGAACACACCAGCAGTGTGAGGAGACCTGAAAGTGGCACATGGCAGAGTGTGGCGATGGAGACAGCAGCAATGGGGGAGGCCGTACAGGGACCCATGAGAGACTCTGGACCTGGCAGCAGCATGAGGAGGCGGTACAGGGGCCCATGGCAGATTAGGGGCCTGGCAGCAGCTATGGGAGGCCCGTAATCTGCCAGCACCCTATGACAAAAAATGGAACACACCACCAGCAGTGTGAGGAGACCTGAAAGTGGCACATGGCAGAGTGTGGCGATGGAGACAGCAGCAATGGGAGGCCGTACAGGGACCCATGAGAGACTCTGGACCTGGCAGCAGCATGAGGAGGCGGTATAGGGCCCATGGCAGATTTAGGGGCCTGGCAGCAGCTATGGGAGGCCCGTAATCTGCCAGCACCCTATGACAAAAAATGGAACACACCAGCAGTGTGAGGAGACCTGAAAGTGGCACATGGCATGATGGAGACAGCTGCAATGGGAGGCCGTACAGGGACCCATGAGCACTCTGGACCTGGCAGCAGCATGAGAGGCGGTACAGGGGCCCATGGCAGATTAGGGGCCTGGCAGCAGCTATGGGAGGCCGTAATCTGCCAGCACCCTATGACAAAAAATGGAACACACCAGCAGTGTGAGGAGGACCTGAAAGTGGCACATGGCAGAGTGTGGCGATGGAGACAGCAGCAATGGGAGGCCGTACAGGGACCCATGAGAGACTCTGGACCTGGCAGCAGCATGAGGAGGCGGTATAGGGGCCCATGGCAGATTAGGGGCCTGGCAGCAGCTATGGGAGGCCCGTAATCTGCCAGCACCCTATGACAAAAAATGGAACACACCAGCAGTGTGAGGAGACCTGAAAGTGGCACATGTTTGGGGCATGATTCATGGCGGATTTAGTCAGTTGTGTCAGGAACTGGTGGTTTTGAAATCCAGACTAATCCACGCCTGATTCATTTTCACAAACGTGAGTCTCTCCACACTTTGGGTGGACAGTCGTGTCCTCCGCGGAGTTACAATACCTCCTGCCGCACTAAACACGCGCTCCGATGCCACGCTACTGGCCGGGCATGACAGCCTTTCAAGGGCAAATTCAGCTAGTTGGGGCCAAAGGTCAAGTTTCGTTGCCCAGTAGTCAAGGGGATTGTCTACCTCGGTTGGCAGGGTGCTGTCCAAGTAGGCCCAAGCCTGTTGTTTGAGGTCCTGCTCCAGGTCCACCTGATGCTGCTGCTGCTGCTGCTGCTGCTGCGGGTTAGTAGTTTCCTCACTGCGCTGGTGTGAAGAAAGCTACTCTCATCATCGACTGCAGACTGAGGCAGCGCTGCTGCTGCTGGTGGAGAGCTGCCACTGCTCCTACCACCCCACCCCTCCCCTGCTGCCATGGCAGCGGAACGCGAGCGCACAGGGCCCACAGTGTCTGAGGATGGACGTTGGCGCAGAAAGGCAGAGACCAACTGACTACATAGGTGGTTTTTATAGTACGTACGTTATTTTGGCCCCCCCTCTCAGCAGGTGTGAAAAAGGCCACCATTTTTGAACGGTAGCGAGGGTCCAACAAGGTGGACAGCCAAAAGTCATCCCTCTGTCTGATGGTTATTATTCGGCTGTCGCTACGCAAGCAAGCGAGCATGCTATGGGCCATTTGTGCCAAGGAATGCGAGGGACTCCCTGCCTCCATCTCCACAGCATACTGCCACGGTGCGTCTGGGTCCTCTGTCTCCTCCTCCTCCTCCTCTACCAGATGCTCCTGCTCCTCCACTCCTGTCCGCTGAGTGGAAAAACCACCCATTTCACTCAATAATTCCTGAGCACAAATGTCCTCCTCTACCTCCTCCTCTTCTTCCTGTCCTGCCCCCACAGGGGTCATGTGGCGTTGAGATCTGTGCGCCACGTCTACCGCACCCTGACCAGCCATTGTTAACAGCATTTGTTCCAGGACGTGCAACAGAGGAATGACGTCGTTCATCCCATAGTCCTGCCGACTCACGAATAGCGTGGCCTCCTCAAAGGGCCTGAGCAAGCGGCAGGTGTCACGCATGAGCTGCCAATGGCTGACATCGAAGTTACACAGGGGAGTACCTTTATCCGCTTGTAACATCAGGAAATCGGTGATGGCCTTTCGCTGTTCGTAAAGGCGGTCTAACATGTGTAGGGTTGAATTCCACCTTGTTGCAACGTCGCAGATCAGGCGATGCTGTGGAATTCCGTTCTGCCGCTGCAGCTCAAGGAGGGTGTGCTTTGCGGTGTAGGAATGGCTGAAATGCATGCAAAGTTTACGTGACATTTTAAGGATGTCTTGCAGTGGGATGGTGGATTTTAGGAACCGCTTGACAACCAGATTGAACACGTGAGCCATGCATGGCGCATGGCACAACCTTCCTTGACGCAGAGCAGACACCATGTTCTTTCCGTTGTCGGTCAACATGGTTCCGATTTTCAGTTTGCGCGGAGACAGCCATCTGTCGATTTCTCTGTTCATTACACTGAGAAGTTCCTCCCCTGTGTGACTACGTTCGCCAAGGCATACCAGGTGCAGCACAGCGTGACACCGTTGCGCCCTGCACATGTGATATGCCGGTCGGGTAATGGGACTTGGCACGGGGGTGGCGGCTGAGGACACGGCGGAAGAAGAGGTGGTAGAGGCGGACATCTTTTGTGGACCAAGGACGTGCAAACGTGGAGGCAAAAGCGGCGTGACCTGTCCAAGTTGCTGGTGCGGCTGTGACGGCACCACGTTCACCCAGTGGGCCGTAAATGACATGTACTGTCCCTGACCGTAGTTACAGCTCCACACGTCGGCGCTGCCGTGCACTTTGGCAGAGACCGACATGCTCAAAGACTGGCCCACCATCTCTTCTACATGTGAATGCAGGGCTGGCACTGCCTTTTTGGCGAAGAAATGACGGCTTGGCACTCTCCACCGCGGCGCGGCACAAGCCATCATTTCTCGGAAAGGTGCTGAGTCCACCACTTGGAAAGGGAGGGACTGCAGCACCAGCAACTTGGACAGGAGGACGTTCAGCTTTTGCACCGTCGGGTGCGTGCTCGCAAACTGTTGTCTCTTGGAAACGGATTCCAAGAAAGACTGCTGACGGAATCCGTGAAGAGGAGTAGCAGGAGAAGGAGCATCTGAACGAGCGGAAGATGCCAACGAGCGACAACTCCCCTCAGCAGAGGTGTTGGAGCCTTGACTGGCTGATAGAGGGCGATTGACGTCGGGTGACGGAGCAAGTAACGGAGCGGGTGATGGAGCGGGGGCTGGGGCGGGCAGAACCGCCGTATCTTTATCACGGTTTTCCCAGGCCACCAAATGGCGACGCTGCATATGCTGACGCAACGCTGTAGTCCCAACATGGGCCCCCTGGCCACGCTTGACTTTCTGGCCACATAGTCGACATACGGCTACGTTTACTTCCTCTCGCGCGGCTTGACAAAAAATTGCCACACCGCCGAGTAGGAAACTTTGCCCCCGATACTCCTCACTGGCTGACTGCTGCTTCCTCCGTGCACACCGGCACCACTACTGGCCGTGGTGGTAGGCTGCAGTGGAGCTGGTGCTGTACTCCGTGGCCGTTTGCCTCCACTGACACTGCTGCGACCCTGCTGCCTCCTGGGCAAACCCGACTGTGTTTTGCTCGCTGCCAAGCTGCCACCCTCTTCTCCTGATGATGCGGAAGCAATAGCCTGATGACGACGAGGCTGCCAAGTGCGATCAGCCTCATCATCATCAATTAGGGTCTCCGCCTCACTACTAGCCCCCTCGGCTGCGTGTGGGTCAGGAGACAGACCTGTCTCTAGACCGGCTACCGAGCCACTCTCCTCGCCACTACTTCTTCGCCTGGCTGCTGAAGAGGCGGATGTCTCCCCCCGTTCCTGACCGCCCTCTGTTAGCTCTTCCTCACTGTACAGTGGGCTGAGCCCACAGCATGCGATACTTCGCTTGGTGAGGGAACACCAAAGGACAGGGGCAGGTAGAGGACACGTGATTTCAGTGGGCTTGCTCCCGGGCCATGCCAACTAACGGTTGTGTCTGACGTACCCACCGACCGTTGGCTGTAGGTGTCAGAGGTGACCTGGGAAGAGGAAGACGACCGAGCCAACCAATCGATGACGGCAGGGTTGTCGGTGGAGACACGACCGCTGGATGACACCGGGAGCACTGGCCTCTGGCTGCGAATAGTGCTGCCTCGACCCCTTCCTCTGCTGCCACGTCTGCTCGCTCCTAAAACATTGCCTCCTCTGCCACTCCTCTGCATGTTGTCTGACATACTCTTTAATTAAACGATTCTGTGTCCCTGAGTAACAATTCTGTGTCTGTCCCTGAGTAACAATTCTGTGTCTGTCCCTGAGTAACGTTTCTGTGGCCCTAAGTAACAGTTCTGTGGCCCTCAGTAACAATTCTGTGTCCCTCAGTAACAATTCTGTGTCCCTCAGTAACAATTCTGTGTCCCTCAGTAACAATTCTGTGTCTGTCCCTGAGTAACAATTCTGTGTCCCTGAGTAACAATTCTGTGTCCCTGAGTAACATTTCTGTGTCCCTCAGTAACAATTCTGTGTCCCTCAGTAACAATTCTGTGTCCCTCAGTAACAATTCTGTGTCTGTCCCTGAGTAACAATTCTGTGTCCCTGAGTAACAATTCTGTGTCCCTCAGTAACAATTCTGTGTCCCTCAGTAACAATTCTGTGTCCCTCAGTAACAATTCTGTGTCCCTCCCTAAAGTAACAATTCTGTGTCCCTGAGTAACAATTCTGTGTGTCCCTGAGTAACAATTCTGTGTCCCTCAGTAACAATTCTGTGTCCCTCAGTAACAATTCTGTGTCCCTGAGTAACAATTCTGTGTCCCTGAGTAACAATTCTGTGTGTCCCTAAGTAACGTTTCTGTGGCCCTAAGTAACAATTCTGTGTCCCTCAAATTCAGTAACAATTCTGTTCTGTGTCCCTCAGTAACAATTCTGTGTCTGTCCCTGAGTAACAATTTCTGTGTCCCTAAGTAACGTTTCTGTGTCCCTAAGTAACGTTTCTGTGGCCCTAAGTAACAATTCTGTGGTCCCTAAGTAACAATTCTGTGTCTGTCCCTAAGTAACAATTCTGTGTCCCTAAGTAACAATTTCTGTGGCCCTAAGTAACGTTTCTGTGGCCCTAAGTAACATTTCTGTGTCCCTCAGTAACAATTCTGTGTCCCTCAGTAACAATTCTGTGTCCCTCAGTAACAATTCTGTGTCTGTCCCTAAGTAACAATTCTGTGTCCCTAAGTAACAATTCTGTGTGTCCCTAAGTAAACAATTCTGTGTCTGGCCCTAAGTAACAATTCTGTGGCCCTAAGTAACAAGCCCTAAGTAAACAATTCTGTCTGTCCCTCAGTAACAATTCTGTGTCCCTAAGTAACGTTTCTGTGCCCTAAGTAACGGTTCTGTGGCCCTCAGTAACATTTCTGTGTCCCTCAGTAACAATTCTGTGTCTGTCCCTGAGTAACAATTCTGTGTCCCTAAGTAACGTTTCTGTGCCCTAAGTAACGTTTCTGTGGCCCTCAGTAACAATTCTGTGTCCCTCAGTAACAATTCCTCAGTAACAATTCTGTGTCCCCTAAGTAACAATTCTGTGTCTGTCCCTAAGTAACAATTCTGTGGCCCTAAGTAACGTTTCTGTGGCCCTAAGTAACGTTTCTGTGGCCCTAAGTAACGTTTCTGTGGTCCCTAAGTAACGTTTCTGTGGCCCTAAGTAACAATTCTGTGGCCCTCAGTAACAATTCTGTGTGTCCCTCAGTAACAATTCTGTGTCTGTCCCTAAGTAACAATTCTGTGGCCCTAAGTAACGTTTCTGTGGCCCTAAGTAACGTTTCTGTGGCCCTCAGTAACAATTCTGTGTCCCTCAGTAACAATTCTGTGTCTGTCCCTAAGTAACAATTCTGTGGCCCTAAGTAACGTTTCTGTGGCCCTAAGTAACGTTTCTGTGGCCCTAAGTAACAATTCTGTGGCCCTAAGTAACGTTTCTGTGGCCCCCTAAGTAACGTTTCTGTGGCCCTCAGTAACAATTCTGTGTGTCCCTCAGTAACAATTCTGTGTCTGTCCCTAAGTAACAATTCTGTGGCCCTAAGTAACGTTTCTGTGGCCCTAAGTAACGTTTCTGTGGCCCTAAGTAACAATTCTGTGGCCCTAAGTAACAATTCTGTGGCCCTAAGTAACGTTTCTGTGGCCCCTCAGTAACAATTCTGTGTCCCTCAGTAACAATTCTGTGTCTGTCCCCTAAATTCTGTGGTCCCTAAGTAACAATTCTGTGGCCCTAAGTAACGTTTTCTGTGGCCCTAAGTAACAATTCTGTGGCCCCTCAGTAACAATTCTGTGTCCCTCAGTAACAATTCTCTGTCTGTCCCTAAGTAACAATTCTGTGGCCCTAAGTAAACGTTTCTGTGGCCCTAAGTAACGTTTCTGTGGCCCTAAGTAACGATTCTGTGGCCCTCAGTAACAATTCTGTGTCCCTCAGTAACAATTCTGTGTGTGTCTGTAACCTAAGTAAGTAACAATTCTGTGGCCCTAAGTAACGTTTCTGTGGCCCTAAGTAACCCTAAGTAACGTTTCTGTGGCCCTAAGTAACGTTTCTGTGCCCCCTAAGTAACGTTTCTGTGGCCCTCAGTAACAATTCTGTGTCCCTCAGTAACAATTCTGTGTCTGTCCCTAAGTAACAATTCTGTGGCCCTAAGTAACGTTTCTGTGGCCCTAAGTAACGGTTCTGTGGCCCTCAGTAACAATTCTGTGTCCCTCAGTAACAATTCTGTGTCTGTCCCTAAGTAACAATTCTGTGGCCCTAAGTAACGTTTCTGTGGCCCTAAGTAACGTTTCTGTGGCCCTAAGTAACGTTTCTGTGGCCCTCAGTAACAATTCTGTGTCCCTCAGTAACAATTCTGTGTCCCTAAGTAACAATTCTGTGCCCTAAGTAACGATTCTGTGGCCCTCAGTAACAATTCTGTGTCCCCCTAAGTAAATTTCTGTGTCCCTAAGTGTGGCCCTAAGTAACGTTTCTGTGGCCCTAAGTAACGTTTCTGTGGCCCTAAGTAACAATTCTGTGGCCCTCAGTAACAAATTCTGTGTCCCTAAGTAACAATTCTGTGTCTGCCCTAAGTAACGTTTCTGTGGCCCTAAGTAACGTTTCTGTGGCCCTAAGTAACAATTCTGTGGCCCTCAGTAACAATTCTGTGTCCCTGTCCCTAAGTAACAATTCTGTGTCTGCCCTAAGTAACAATTCTGTGGCCCTAAGTAACGTTTCTGTGGCCCTAAGTAACAATTCTGTGGCCCTCAGTAACAATTCTGTGGCCCCTAAAGTAACAATTCTGTGTCCCTCTAAGTAACAATTCTGTGCCCTAAGTAACGTTTCTGTGCCCTGTAACAATTTCTGTGGCCCTAAGTAACGATTCTGTGGCCCTAAGTAACGTTTCTGTGGCCCTAAGTAACGTTTCTGTGGCCCTCAGTAACAATTCTGTGTCCCTCAGTAACAATTCTGTGTCTGTCCCTAAGTAACAATTCTGTGGCCCTAAGTAACGTTTCTGTGGCCCTAAGTAACGATTCTGTGGCCCTAAGTAACTGTGTCCCTCAGTAACAATTCTGTGTCCCCTAAGTAACAATTCTGTGTGGCCCTAAGTAACAATTCTGTGGCCCTAAGTAACGTTTCTGTGGCCCTAAGTAACAATTCTGTGGCCCTAAGTAACAATTCTGTGTCTGTCCCTAAGTAACAATTCTGTGGCCCTAAGTAACAATTCTGTGGCCCTAAGTAACAATTCTGTGGCCCTAAGTAACAATTCTGTGTCCCTCAGTAACAATTCTGTGTCCCTAAGTAACAATTTCTGTGTGGCCCTAAGTAACGTTTCTGTGGCCCTAAGTAACAATTCTGTGGCCCCTAAGTAACGTTTCTGTGGCCCTAAGTAACAATTCTGTGGCCCTCAGTAACAATTCTGTGTCTGTCCCTAGTAGTAAGTAACTGTTCTGTCCCTAAGTAACAATTCTGTGGCCCTAAGTAACGTCTTCTGTGGCCCTAAGTAACGATTCTGTGGCCCTAAGTAAATTCTGTGGCCCTCAGTAACAATTCTGTGTGGCCCTAAGTAACAATTCTGTGTCTGTCCCTAAGTAACAATTCTGTGGCCCTAAGTAACAATTCTGTGTCCCTAAGTAACGTTTCTGTGGCCCTAAGTAACAATTCTGTGGCCCTCAGTAACAATTCTGTGTCCCTCAGTAACAATTCTGTGTCTGTCCCTAAGTAACAATTCTGTGGCCCTAAGTAACGTTTCTGTGGCCCTAAGTAACGATTCTGTGGCCCTCAGTAACAAATCTGTGTCCCTCAGTAACAATTCTGTGTCTGTCCCTAAGTAACAATTCTGTGGCCCTAAGTAACGTTTCTGTGGCCCTAAGTAACGATTCTGTGGCCCTCAGTAACAATTCTGTATCCCTCAGTAACAATTCTGTCTGTCCCTGAGTAACAATTCTGTGTCCCTAAGTAACGTTTCTGTGGCCCTAACTAACGATTCTGTGGCCCTAAGTAACTTTTTCTGTGGCCCTATGTAACGTTTCTATGGCCCTAAGTAACGATTCTGTGGCCCTAACTAACGTTTCTGTGTCCCTAAGTAACGTTTCTCTGTCCCTAACTCTCTCCCTGCATACAGCCAGGTCTGCCTCTGTTGAATGACTGGAGGCAAATGGAGAATTCTAAAATGGCCGCCATTTATAGCTCGACCATTACACTGTGCTGGCTGGCTGGCTGCTGATTGGCTAATGCGATCACATGTCATGAATGAATGCATTATGGGTCAGCGCGCCTTGTCTGCGCGCCTTCCCAGACATCCCCGCTCCGTCGCCGCACATGTCGCCGCCATTTTAGGAAAAATTTCGATTCGCGCATCCGAAGTCTGCTTAGCTCCTGTCTAAATTGGCCCTAATATGTGTATGTATGAATGTGAGTTAGGGACCTTAGATTGTACGCCCCTTGAGGGTTAGGGAGTGATGTGAATGTACAATATATATGTAAAGTGCTGTGTAAATTAACGGCGTTATATAAGTACCTGAAATAAATAAATAAATAAAATAAATAATTTCAAAATTGATATTGTTCCTATAGGATAATTAGGTGAGCTGGAGAGATCATAGTTCTAAGCAGTGTTTGCCTTTATTTACAAATCACGTATATTGACCATCACCAAATAATACAAGAACAAATGCAATAAACAAAAATCATAATAAATTACAATTATGTAAAAGCGCTGCGTAAATTAATGGCGTTATATAAGTACCTGAAATAAATAAAAATAAAATAAATAATAGTATGCAGCTGGATGGGAAGCAGAGGTGGTGGAAGTATTTAAAGCCTTTTGACTTTCCTGGGCCACATTGGAAAAAGAGGAATTGTCTTGGGCCACACATAAAATAGACTGACAATAAGGAGAGCTGATGAGCAGAAAAAGTTAGGCAGATCACACGTTAACAATCGCTGATTTAGATATTGTACCTATCTGAGTAATAAAGCGTCATCTTTTTTTAATATTTTTTATTATAAAAGTAAAAGACGGTAATGTAAAACTAGTGCAATATTTGACACTGTTTTTGACAAACTAACACATCAATATCTGGTTTGATGAATGTAGTAGCAATTCTCATTGAATTCTGAAGGTGCTCCTCAGATAATTTGGTTCTAATTTTGCCCTTCATGTGCTTCATCCTTCAAGGAGTGATTGTGAAGAGTGGGAGATTTCTCTTTGGGAAGATAAAAAAAAACACACACTGTCAAATTTCCATCAGCACGTGTTTGCTAAGTGTAAATGCATTTTTACAAACAACCCCCCAAAAAATAACTTTTTAAAATAAGTTTACAATTTTGTGTTGGGCCGCAGGTTGGACACCC